ACATAATTTTAGATTTAAATCCAAGAATCGTTTATGAATTTGAAGTCAGCAGTCAATAGTTAATGGTTCAAATTTGTCATGAATTTTGGTTTTTGGGACTGAAAATCCACATTTTCTTTTTCAATAGAAGGGGGTTTTTAGGCATTGTGTGTTTTGAGATACTATACAATTAATCGAAGGGGTGAATCAAATCCAATCAAAAAAAAAGAAGGATTTTTTTAGTAAGGGAATTCAAAAAAGGACTTCAAGACGCAAGTACAATAAAAAAAAGACGTTCAGTAATCCAACCCAAAAGGGGGAAATTTTCATCTATTTTGTATCGTTTTGGCGGCATGGCCGAGTGGTAAGGCGGGGGACTGCAAATCCTTTTTCCCCAGTTCAAATCCGGGTGTCGCCTGATCAACAAAAGACTCGAAATCCCTTATTCTGTTCTGCTGATATAACTCGCTGAATTATTCCCCAGCAGAAGCAGAGGAAAAAGACTGTCAATACTTGCTTAATTCTAAGCAAGTATTTTCTAAAAGATTGTAAATCCTTGCATCTAGGAGTCACGAAAAGATTCTAGTAGCGAAGGGGCTATCAAAACTTCTCGATTCCCTTCTACGACTAATGTAGTGTCTACTGACTGAGTCTTGAATTAGATTGGATAGTCGAATAGGGAATCTACTGAAATTAGTAGTTGTGGAAGGGGCGGAAGATGCTTTATAGAATATACGTACTCACGGGAGTCTCTGAGTGTTCAGGCATTCGATCAATATTAGATTGAAAAGAACAGTTCCTATTATTCCTACATGTTCCATTAGTAACATTCCCTTGGGATGTCACTGCGTATTTTGCTTGTGTTTAATCTTTCCCAATTAGAAATTATATAGAAATTTATTAGAAGTAGATTTATTGGATTGGTTCATCAATAGTGTTGGGTCAGAATCTTTTTTTGACTCTGCGCCATTGATTCCACTATTATTAGTGAGCAATAATGGAATAATTCCTTCATATTCATAGAGATAGGGGACATAATTCACATGGATATAGTAAGTCTCGCTTGGGCTGCTTTAATGGTAGTCTTTACATTTTCCCTTTCACTCGTAGTATGGGGAAGAAGTGGACTCTAGAAGTACTACTAATTGAGTTGCGGAATCAAACTGTATCAATTTTTATAGATCGTTCTGCAAAGCGTTTTTCACTATTTTAAATAAAAATATCTTCATTTCGAAATTCCATCGGATTCTAGTGGAATAATGTAATATATGAATAATACTCTTTCAATCAAAGAAATATTTCAACGATTTCCATCTTTGTATTTTGAAAGGAAGGGGGATACGGAGGATAGGAAATTTCTTCCAACCTAATTCTTCCTAAATTTTCTATTTCAATAATTCAATAAATGGGTTCTTATCAGAATTATATATGAACAATGAGGAAGAACCGACCTCTTTTTTTATTTGTTTCCCCCCTTACTCTTCAATTATTCTTCAAATAGGAAGTCGTTCTGTTAAGTGTACACGCACTTTCTATGAGAAACAAAATCGGCATAATGATTGTCTAACAAGATATTATGCATACTAAGATCTTGCTCTGGGCGAATCACATATTGTGCGCACTTACCCCTTGTTTTATTATTTTAGAAATTTAATTTCTGTTTTATCGACTTATTTCATATCATGGTTCAAGCGTTAAAAATCGGCGAGGTTTACTACTACTTTTCGAAATCCGAAGAAGTTTCCATAGAACTCTTGTCAATGGCTTAATCAATTACTTCTTCGTAATGCTAAAAACAAATTGGGATTCATGTTGGAAATAATCAAAAATCTAGGAATTAGAACCATAAGAATAAGAGTTGCCTTTCGATTATCTTAGATTGATCGGAACAAATAGATGTACCAAAGAAATAGAATTGGGTACTATGTAGATATCAATTCCATATATGGAATTGGAATCTACATATATGAAGAGTATTGTAGATTGATCTATATTAAGCCCCTATCTTTATTATAGAGTACGACTTTATACACTACAATAACACTAATAGATAGTATATGGTAGAAATAAATATTCGTATATTTATTTCTACCATACTATCGGATCTCATAGAATACTGCTAATTCTAATCCGCTCATTTCATTTAAGACGCGAAATTGGAATCCTTTTCATTTTTTTCTTCAATCAACTCAGAAGTCAAGTTTTATTCAAATTAATTAATCATTTTGACTGATTGTTTTTACATAAATGATAAGTAGAAAAGCAGTAGGAACTAGAATGAACAGTGCAGTAGCAATAAATGCGAGAATATTTACTTCCATAATCTCATCGTTTTTTTACTTCGCAATAACTCGGGATTTAATCCCATAGAGATGAAAAATCTTTCGCCTGTAAATTCAATGGATGAATTACCTCTCGATCATATTGAATCGGGTCAATATCATGAATAACAATATCTGAGCTATCAAATCAATTCATCGTCGAGAATTGAATAGTATAACATAGGAAGATCTTTTATCCATACCGAATCCAAAATTGGATTCCTGATCCAATCAAGAATTTTTTTATTTATTTGATCATTCTTTTTTCTTTTCTATAACCTACCCTACGTCTTCCTTGTACAATCATCTGATGAAGTATCATCTGACCGCCTTCCAACTTCCATTAATCGCAAACCCAAACAAACACTAGAAGTGAAATGGAAAAAGAAAGGAGTTAAGTTCTAAACTCCATTTTAATGATCTAATTTTCTTGGAAGACAAAGAAGTGTGATAAAGATGAGTCCCGGTATAAAAGATATAATATTCCATCAAATTCAATATTTTAGGATTTGATTTGTTCTTTATTCGATAGGACCCCGAAAAGAAAACGGAAAAATAAGAAGGAAAACTTTTCCATTCATTTCCTTTGCTAGGAGTGGCGGGATCCTTGTTTGATCTTTATCTTTATCTTCCCCCTTCTTAGATTAGTACGGGGCACATATATCAAAAGCTCAGTGTGCAATTTGAATGAAATAGATTTTTCAAATTCAAATTAGTAATTGAAGTTACACAAAATTGGGGCCAGAAAAAAAGATAATGGAATCTGGAAAAGTATTCTATTAGGTAGGGTAATTATGTTAAATTCATTTTGTATCGTACAAGAAACGAATCCCATTTGCGTATGTGCTCCCGAGAAAGATATGGTACTCTATTCCATTAGGGGGATCGGGAGCAATCGAAAAAACAGATCCAGTATCTCTTGGAATCCTGAATAGAATGCTACCAATAATTGTACTAATCGACATATGTCTTTCTCCCATCAATCGGTACTAGTTAAAGTAATGCAAATTTCCCTATTTGTTTGATGAGAAATGCGAAAGGAAAAAGGAAAGAAAAAAGAACTAAGGGGCGAATTTGTTTATTGAATCCGTCGGGACTGACGGGGCTCGAACCCGCAGCTTCCGCCTTGACAGGGCGGTGCTCTGACCAATTGAACTACAATCCCAGGAAAATAGGGGATATAGCAGAAAATGCGATTCTT